TATATATTTATATAACAAAGTTGTGTTAGTTACTCCATTTATAACTCAAGAACGGCTGGACCAATTTTAATTATCTATGATTTGTTGGATTCATCTCCGCATGGATTAGCATGCATATAAATAAATGCCACCCGCAACACACGGCAAGATGTTTTACTACATATCATTAAATAACTCGTGATCGCATTGAAATGAGCATTAAAAATTAAAGTTGTGAGGCTGAAGGTCACAAAGAAACGTTTCTGACACCGTAATCTACAGAATGAGATACTTTTGGACTTTCTATTAAATTTTTGCTAGTTTGTCACTTAAGAGGCGTCGCTTTGTCGCTTAAGAGGCGTTGATTCCTCTATCCTATACTATTTGCGCTTTTTGTGTACACTGAGGGTTGCGCTGATTGACGAAGTTTATTTGCATAATCATTAATCCAAGATTCGATCTCGCAGCAACAACTAGAAATAGTATTAATTGTTGCTTGATACCGATGATTGCTTCTTATGATTGCTTCTTAACATTTATGTAACATTTTGCCGATAACGACAAGTGCTGTGTACCTAATTGTGGAGGACTGTGGGTGTACAGTGAAGAGCGAAAACTTATCTTGTTAGGGTTGATTTGTGTTTTACCTTTACCAGTATTTTCGTTATCAGCAGTCATTCCATGAAATTTTCAAGTCAGCGTATTCAAGCATGTAGCTTTCTCAAGAGTAAAAAACTTTTTTAATATTTTTGTAATTGTCACAAAAAACGAAAAGCTTACTGACGATGAATATTGAATAATTACTTCAAATATTTTTAAGGGAGTACTGTGAATTATTACAAGAAATCCCTCGAATAAATCTTTAGTGAAAACTTCTTTTCCACATCAATTGCATTGTTTTTATTTTTATTTGATATTGTGTTAGTACCTTTATATATTTTTAAACAAGTAAATACGTTTCGTTATCAATTTTCCCTCTTAGAATGGAAATAGAAGCATAGGGAAGTGTGTGGTTTAACATCACCACAACGGGTACGCGGAGGTAGCAGGGGAAAACTTGTGCTATGGCACAAACAAAGAACAAGCGTTTTAAATGAACTAAAATAAAATAGCTTAAAATTAATAAACAACAAAAATCAAAATGCGGTAGTCTACAATACTTCGTGAATTAATTAAAAAAATACAATTAAAATTTAAAATTAAAGACAGAATATAGCAAATCATTCGACAACTGCCAACGATTACAATCCAGACGCACGTTTTAAATGTTGGCGATATCTGTAGAAATCTATACATGAATACCCAGCTGTAAACTCATATTGTGTATAATACATCGTTTGATATTAAACTTAAAGTGTCGGTTCGCCAAGATATTCAATGCGTTAACATCGTTGAGCAACATTTCCATGTACCGAACTGAAATCTAAAACTACTGATTTGTTTCTAATGGTAACAAGTGTTATTTATTACTCAATGGTGAAAATATTTGTTTTAGGAATTTAGGTTTTAAAATATTACGGAGAGAGAGGGAGGGAGAGAGGGCGCGACGGAGAGAGACGAAGAGTGGGCAGGAAAAAGAGGAAGAACAATGTGTGCTGGGGTCTGCTAGTGTATAATAAGCAGCAATTTATTTACAATCGTTGGGTAGATGCGAGGAGACATTGAAAGAAAAATTTGGATCCGTTTTCAAGAAATATTGTTCACATTTTTTAAATTGTTTAGTTTTCACGCAAAATTATGTGAAAGCTATTCACATTTTCGAAAAATTGTACCAGACCTTATTTCAGTCTGTATTAAAAAAATCATTCTTGGAATAAACTCTATCTTCAATATTGTAAATTAGGAAACGCTGAAAAAGTGCACTTTTACAATTTTTCGAAATTAGGGGTTTCAACGAAAATGAGACTTACTCCAGTGTCTTAAGCATCCTGTGCGCTATCTGAGGATAAAGTCAAATAAAAAAGTTTGTTGCCATTTCTTAAAATATTTTGAAAATGTTTTCGAGGCTTTTGAGGTAAAGTACCCTCAAAAATCGAAATATTCACTCCTGAGGTCCTTCAAACGGATTAGAAAATGTAAATTGTGGAGAACATTAGCTGAACGGTTTATGCGTTTGCGTTGGCCACCGACGACCAGACAGACGCTTTGCTGTCAATCAATTTTTCAGTATCAAAGAGCCATAAAGCATGGATTCTAGATACATCACGTGTTATTGGTAGGCATTTTCTATATAGGAATAAGATAAATCCACTTTTACAAGATAAAAATATTTGCTCTTCTTACAAGTACGGCAAAAAATCCTAAAAAGGCAAAATGTGTCAAAATAATAAATTTTGAAAACTTAAAAACTGCTGTTGTTGCCAGTGGGTGATTGTTCTGGAACACCAAACAAAGAGAGCATGTTTGTACATTTGGTCCATTTGGTACATTTGGTCAACATGTTCGTGCCCCAAAAAATTGGAAGATAATTGATTACGATAGATATATTATTCCACACTTCCACAAGAGCAGTGCCACAATATGTTCCCAAACTTATACCCTACTAACCCCTCTCTGCAGCACTTGTGCTAACCAAACTCACAAGTGCGACTGGTGGCCAATACTTCAACTGAGATGATGTGAAGACTAAATTTTCGACCGTCAAACATTCCTGAATAAAATAAGTTCCCCAATGATGCAATCTAACTACTAAACGAATAACTAAATAACTAACTGGATTTAAAAAAAATATGTTCAAACCTAAGTGAACCACTCTCAGTTACCACTACTTATTTGAAAATCTAAACGCACTTGAAAGACGGGATTGTCTTATGGCAAAAGGTTAGGGTAAATTAAAAACTGTCCGTAAGACTAAAAATAAATTTCTTTAAAAATCCCTTAATGCCAACTGACATACTCGTAGTTGGTCGCGTGACCCACCATCATGTGCAGCGCGTATGAGGCCAAGGCAGCGAGGAAGATGATCAGGAAAATGGCGCCCACCAGCCCCAGGGCAGCGAAGAGGCACGCGTGCAACACCAACCACAAGGCCAGCAGCCCGTTCAGCAAGTGCGCCCACGCCGCGCAGTTCCTGGCAGCAGACGCACAGTCACGCGAGTCAAGGTACTGGACGCGGAGGAATATGCACAGCATCCTACGCCGCTCGGTTCCTGTGCACTCAGGCACAGTGAGTCATGGTTATGAGGAAAGAGAAATAGGCGCCACACGCCCACTTCCTTCGATAACGATATGAAAAAAATAGAATATAGATTATTACATAATTTGAAGCCATATTACGTAACTCGGAAGCAAAGCTCCCCTCTTTATCATAAACAGTAATATAAATCCACTTCAATTCTTTACATAACATTTTTAGAGAACGGTTTAATACTTTTATAATGTTATATTTAGTTCGTTCTGAAATAATAATTAATGTTAACAAATAGATACCCGGAAGGGGTTACATGGGAAAATTTGGACCTCATGGTTGATTATTTTGTTTCAAAATGTAAACCCTCGTGATATTCAGTAGTTTTTCCATAATCTTTTATCTGCATAATCCTGTACTCATATTATAATTGCAGGCTATTTGTAATTTCTCAGAATGTATTTTTATGTAAGGGGTTTCTGTGGATCGCAAATCTGCGTAATGTTTCTGCAGCTTGATGTTTTCAACATACTTAATTTCTTTCGAACACTCTAAACACTTCGTAATTGTTCCAATATCTGTAAAAAGAAAAATATCTTCCCGAATCTAAGGAGCATTAACGGGCGTAGATGGTCTCCTCGTCCTTGCCTGAAACACCGGCAATGGCCCACTGCCAAAGTTGTCGTGACCGGCGCCCTCCGTCCGTCCTTTGCTCTCGCGCTGCTTCCCCGAGCGCCCGCTCACGGAGGGGAACGCTGCCCTGCCGTCATTTTTTGTCCAGTTGGCAAACGCTGCTCTAACGCCTCATCCAGCACGAGGGAACGTGCGCTGACGCCCGCGCGTAGAACTCACGAGACGAAGGCGCGGCTGGTGCGGTGGGCGTGCGGGTCGAAGACCACGCGCGGGGTGGCCACGGCGCTGCCGGAGTCATCGATGCCGGGGAGGCGGCCGGGCGAGGCGTTGGGCTTGACGGCGAAGCCGAGGCTGGAGCGGCGCTGCAGCGCGGACGCGGGCGGGGGCGGGGCTAAGGAGGAGCGGAGCTGCAGCAGGGGCGGGAGTGCGGTCGGCAGGGAGGAGCGGCG